TATTTGCTTAAAAAGAAAGTTAGTTGGGTCTATTTTTTCAGAGAACGGGCAATTTTACTCAATGAACGCAATCTTTGTATTTGCATGAACATATAGCTCGTTTGTTTGAAAAAGTAAGTTGGATTGGTCCATTTTTACGGGAACATGAAACTTTACTCAATGAACGCACTCGTTGCATTCGCTTGAACAAATAGTCCGTTTGTTTCAAAAAGTAAGTTTGTTGGGTCCATTTATCCGCGGAACAGGCAACTTTACACAACGAACGCAACCCCTATGTTAGGATGAAAAAATATCCCGTTTGTTTGAAAAAGTAAGTTAGTTTGGTCCATTTTTCGGGTAAACGGGTAACTTTACTGAACGAACGCACCTCTTACACTCACTTGAACAAATAGCCCGTTTTTTTGAAAAAGTAAGTTGGTTGGGTCCAATTTTCCAGGAACGAGCAACTTTACTCAATGAACACTCCCCTTGCTTTCGCTTGAACAAATAGCCTGTTTGTTTGAAAAAGTAAGTTTGTTGGGTCCATTTTTCCAGGGAACGGTCAACTGTACACAACGAACGCAACCCCTGCGTTAGTGTGAAAAAATAGCCCGTTTGTTTGAAAAAGTAAGTAAGTTTGGTCCATTTTTCGGGTAAACAGGTAACTTTACTGAACGAACGCACCCCTTGCGTTCGCTTGAACAAATAGCTCGTTTGTTTGAAAAAGTAAGTTGGTTGGGTCCATTTTTTCAGGAACGAGCAACTTTACTCAATGAATGCATCCGTTGCATTCGCTTGAATAAATAGCCCGTTTGTTTGAAAACGTAAGTTTGTTAGGTCTATTTATCCGGGGAACGGACAACTTTACACAACGAACGCAACTCCTGCGTTAGTGTGAAAAAATAGCCTGTTTGTTTGAAAAAGTAAATTAGTTTGGTCCGTTTTCGGGTAAACGGGTACCTTTACTGAACGAATGCACCCCTTACACTCACTTGAACAAATAGCCCGTTTATTTGAAAAAGTAAGTTGGTTGGGTCCATTTTTTCAGGAACAAGCAACTTTACTCAATGAACGCACCGCTTGCATTTTCTTGAAAAAATAACCCGTTTGTTTGAAAACGTAAGTTTGTTGGGCCCATTTATCGGGGGAACGGGCAACTTTACACAACGAACGCAACTCCTGCGTTAATGTGAAAAAATAGCCCGTTTGTTTGAAAAAGTAAGTTAGTTTGGTCCATTTGTCGGGTAAACGGGCAACTTTACTTAATGAACGCACTCCTTAAGTTCGCTTGACAAATAGCCCATTTGTTTGAAAAAGTAAGTTGGTTGGATCCATTTTTCCATGAATGAGCAACTTTACTCAATAAACGCACCCCTTGTGTTCGCTTAAACAAATAGCCCGTTTGTTTGAAAAAGTAAGTTGATTGATAATATTTTTACGGGGAACGGCTGACAGTACCCGCCTCGAATTCCTCAGAACCTAGGACGAATCAGGTGAAAATTTTCGACAGCTTACCGATGTCGGGCCCACGTACTAAGAACCGAGACTTTCTACCGAAATTTCGGCAGAGTCTCTCCTGAAAATTGGACTTTTCCCCAAATTCTTTCCCGAACTTAAAATGACCTTTTTGCCCTTTAGTATTAATTAATTTTTTAATTTTTTTAAGAAAACCTTAATTAATTCAAATCATTTTATTTTATTATTTATTTCAATTTATTTCCTCATTTAACTTTATTCTCTCTTACTTTAATTATTTTATTACTTTTTCAGACCGGGATGTTACAATCTACCCCCCTTATAAAATTTCGTCCTCGAAATTTCATACATGTCACTCGAAGGGGCATGGATACTGGACCCACATTTACTACTCAGGTTCCCAAATAACCTTGTTCACACTTGATAAGATGGAAACTTAACTTCCCAGGTTTCCCGAACTTCCACAAAATGTGGCTTCGATCCGAGGGTCACCCCACTTCAAAACATTCAAAAAGCTAGCCTTTAAAACATTAATATCAACAAAATGCAACCCTGGGTGACGATACATTGGTATCTCTCTCGACATTTGTTCGCTGTCAAGGATAATGCAACTTCATCTCTTTCTAGAATCCATGCTGGATAAGTTGTTCCGATTAACAAGTAGCTCTAAGGACGACAAATTTTCCCTTTTCTAAGATTATCATTTTCCTTTTCTTTAGGATTAACAACCGATATTACAAATATGATTCTTCGAGAGGAATACCAGAAATGATCATTTTTACCGAATTGTAATCATCATCCACCTCAACATGATTACTTTTCAGATCTTTCATAAGTAATTCCATGAAGTACTCTTTTGGTGCCCCTCCATGACATAACTTTAATTATTTTATTACTTTTTCAGACCGAGATGTTACAATCTACCCCCCTTATAAAATTTCGTCCTCGAAATTTCATACATGTCACTTGAAGGGGCATGGATACTGGGCCCACATTTACTACTCAGGTTCCCAAATAACCTTGTTAACACTTGATAAGATGGAAACTTAACTTCCCATGTTTCCCGAACTTCCACAAAATGTGACTTCGATCCGAGGGTCACCCCACTTCAAAACATTCAAAAAGCTAGCCTTTAAAACATTAATATCAACAAAATGCAACCCTGGGTGATGATACATTGGTATCTCTCTCGACATTTGTTCGCTGTCAAGGATAATGCAACTTCATCTCTTTCTAGAATCCATGCTGGATAAGTTGTTCCCATTAACAAGTAGCTCTAAGGATGAAAAATTTTCCCTTTTCTAAGACTATCATGCGTGAAGAAATAGCTCATTTGTTTGAAAAAGTAAGTTGGTTTGGTCCATTTTTTCAGGATCGAGCAACTTTACTCAACGAATGCCCCATTTGCGTTCGCTTAAACAAATAGCCCGTTTGTTTGAAAAAGTGAGTTGATTGGGAAGCTTTCTTTTTATTGCCCTTTGACGGGCCCTTCGGCCTCCCCTTCTTTTCTTTCTGTTATGACAAAAGCCTTTTCTTGCCGACTTTCTATTTTTCCGGGAATGGGAAACTTTACACAACGAACGCAAGCCATGTGTTAGCGTGAAAAAATAGGTCGTTAGTTGGAAAAAGTAAAATGATTGGGAATATTTTTCCAGGAACGACAACTTTACTAAACGAATGCACCGCCGCTTGCGTTCACTTGAACAATCAACCCGTTTGTTTGAAAAAGTAAATTGGTTGGGTTGATTTTTCTGGGGAACATATAACTTTACTCAACGAACGCAACCCCTACTGGGCTCATTTTTCGATTTGCGCACAGTCACTCTTGCATTACATCATTGTAGTGCAATTTCATTTGTGTTATGCAAACGCTACCCGCCTGTGAGCAAACTCCACATAGCTTAAAAACGCAAAACTCCATTTTTCTTATTTTCGTTTGCGCACAGTCACTCTTGCATTGCATCACCATCATGCAATTGCATGTCTGCAATGCAAACGCTGCCCGACTGTTAGCAAACTCTTCGGAGTGTACACACGAAGCCCGTTTGTTATTTGTTTGAACGGGCAACTTTACTCAACAAACGCAACCGCTGAATTCGCGTGAACAAATAGCTTGTTTGTTTGAAAAAGTAAGTTAGTTGGGTCTATTTTTCCAGAGAACGGGCAACTTTACTCAATGAACGCAATCTTTGCGTTTGCGTGAACATATAGCCCTTTTGTATTCCTTTCATATTATTTTATTTTACATAATTCAATTATGTTTAACGTATGAAATGACCAATATGCCCTCATATTTAATGACAGATTGGATGAAATGTTAGGTAATTAAACGGCAGGGGAGATATTGGCGATAAAGAGCACTTGTGTGCAATTCTCAGTTTATAATATGCATATGCATATACCTGTACGCAATTTCGTAACATCTGTTTGCAATTCTCATTTTACCATATGCAATTGCATATGTATGCAATTTCGTAACATCTGTTTGCAATTCTTAGTTTACAATATGCAATTGCATTCTGCACTTTTCCTGAATCCTTAGCCAGAGCAACCAATA